TTAAACCCTGATTAGAGTCTAAATCTTATCCAATGGGAAATATGTAATAAGTATTTAGGCTCACTGACAGGAGGTTTACCATGAATAACTGAATACGTCTGGGCGTGTCCTCTCCATAGAGCAACTGGTACCAAAAATAGAAATAGACCTTTGTTTTTGCTGTCACCTCCCTCCATGGTTTCCATATGAAACCTCTGTAAATCCAAGCTCTTCTTGCATGACATGTTATGAACAGGAAATTAGGTATATTACCTCACAACACGACGGGGGCTAGCTCATATGTGAAGCCCATTTTGTTTATCAAACCCCGGAGGTCATTTTCGTTAATTTTGTTCGATTGTAAATGTAATCTTATCTGACAGTCCATAACCTAGCAATATTAGGTAAATGAAATGCCCCACCAGTGAAATGGAAATCTAGTGAAAAACTAAATATCTGCGTAATAAAAACGATATTTTAACAGGGAAATTCCTTTAAAATGTAGCTTATACTGTGGTAGGGTGGACCTATCACGCGCGCACCAAGCAGAAAAAGATCAAAGAAAAAATACAGACAGATTTAAAATGTCTTATTCATTGTAAGAAAGGTGTTGAATTCACACACTACACTTAACATTACAGAAAGTGAATTGTCTCAGCGTAAAAATCGAATTTAACCCGATTTTATTTCAATCAAAGGGAGCTGTCACATCAATAAAGCTTGCCCAAAGATCTGTATACTCACCACCATTACGGTGCCCAGCAGGTGGGGACCCTGAAGGTAGATCCCATACCCGAAAGAGTAAACCTTTTTTAAAGCGGATAGTCAGTCAATACCAGATTTATATTCTTTTAAATCTTCTTTTGTAAAGTCCTGTTCGACGCTTGATGGATTGTCATTTAAAAAGCGCTCCTTTGATTTGTTTTCTTTAGCCGCCCTTGCTTGCATGGAGAAATCAATCCGCGCTTCCGGTTCGTTAGGCAGGGGATGGATGTGCTGTGACTGTCGCGACATGGACTGACTATATACGCTTTTATAAAATATTTTAAAAAACAAGTATACAGCAACATATTTATAATTATTATAAGACAAATTACATGTAACCTTTTTTAGGCGGACTGGATACGTTATTAGGTTACGTACATCATAACGTATACCATAATGTGGTCATTCAGTTCAAATTAGTTTTATTTTGGTAACTTCCTGTCGTTATTATTCATTAAAGTTTTCATTATTGTAATTACAATACAATCAATTTCGTTTCAATGTAGCAACTGTTTTTTTTTTTTTTAAAAGCCTATATTTTAGTTTTCAAGCTTATTAAGCTGTGGTTATTCTTAAAATAAAATAAATAAAGCTAAAGGAAATGCAATAACCTATTTGTTGTCGTTCTTTTTATAATGTCTGATTTTTGTATTGTCAATTTCTATACGTTTTTGTACATGCAACTTTATAGCATAATAGTGGTGTTTGAGAAAGCACGTGGACTCCACACACTAGTGTATTGAACTCCCTCTTGTTTTCTTGTGAATTTACGCCATCTTGTGGACAGTCAGTGGAATTACACTTTCAATTACAAAGTAAAAGTGATAGTAGGCTATATTTACTCAAGTACTGTACTTAAGTTCGTTTTTGAGTACTTCACCTTGCATTCTATGCTACTTTACACTTCCAAGTTGAATCTACTAATGATTTATAGAAAGCAATAAAGTTAGTAACTCCTTTACCATCTGCAAAATATAACACATAAATGGACAACAAATTATAATACAGGGATATAACATGTTCTGAAAATGGCCCACATATGAATCTATTTCATAGCGGTGTGTTCAAATAAGTGGGCTAACTCAATTTAGAATTTGAAAAAGAGTGTGTAAACTCCACCCCTCGGTGAGTGGTACTCAGTGGAGTAGCATGTCACTCTCACTTTCACATCTCCATATGAACATAACTGACAACTCCTTTAAACATACTTTTACAAGCAGGCATTAATGCAATTTACATAATATTATTTATGTTTTTCTGCTGAAGAAAGTGACTCCTGATTAATAATACGTGGTCAAATAAATGTAACTATACATAACACTGAAACATCCATGTGGAAAAGGGGTAAACAGTGCAGTGTGTCTGGTTGTATTCCCTCAGTGTGAACAATGTTTCCTCAGCGGCATATCGACATCTCTCCGTCACATTGCTGCATGTTTCATTAGAAACAAAGTGATGAATTTGGGAGCCATGTTCAATCAGTGGGAAGTCAGAGTTAGGTTGTGGCCAAGGAAGGATAAAAACACAGAGTTTATAGCTGTATTTCCCTTTTGTAGTTGTTGTTTTGCATCTATTAGTAGTCGTTGCGCATCTGTTTTTATATCTGTTTTTGTGGTCAATTCGTTTTTATCTGTGGTCATTTTGTTTGGTTTTTTTATGTTGTGATTTTGTGGTCACTTTGTAATTGTTGTTGTCTTTTAGTAGTCAATAATAGCTTTTTGTGTGTTTAAATTTGCCCCTGTTCATAGTCACAATGCAGTTTTGCTTTTCCTTGCAGTTGTGTTGGCCTCTTTCTGCGTCTCTTTGTTGTTGTTGTAGCACTTAATAAGAAGGCTTCTATTTGGCAGCAACACTCAATGTAGCAATCTGTTTCTTGCTCTACTTTCTTTACAGTGAAGCTGGAAAGAAAAACAGACGGTTCACAAGTTTATATAAGACAGAAAATAGATCAAGCAGTCCATATTCTGTGCACCGCTGGGTAAACACTTCCTGAGTTTACATGAACGTATTCAACAATAGAGTGGAGGACCTACACATCCAATGTCGAGAAGTGGAAACAAATTCATATTGTTGCCATCTTGATTTCCTTCTGACGGGAAAAATAAAGCTTGATTGTCACGCCATCGCACAATGAGGATGGAAACCGTGCTATAGGCCGAGGCTAAATCCATCTCTGTCCTCGAGACACTGCATTTCTTCCATTTCACAAAAGATGAGACATGGAGGCAGACTGGGTAGTGTGACTAACAGGCTTTCTGATCATCTGTTAGTCATCATAAGCAGTTCATTAACCCCTACACACACACACACACACACACACACACACACACACACACACACACACACACACACACACACACACACACACACACACACACACACAACCACACACTGATCTGTTTACAGCACAATCCCATTGATTCTCCCCGACAGACTTCACAATGAGATTACAAGATTACAGTAGGTGTGAGCATGTGTTCCCTGGCTTCATTTGGTTAAAACTCCCACTACTGCCTGCTACTGTTTACTAACTGTATTCAGACAAATCAGGTGCTTTGCATGATACTACAAACAATCATTGTCTTTCAGTCATTAACGGGCTAACTACTGATCTCTTTATGGGTGGAATGACTTATCAGATAAATAGAAATTCCATTAATCAAGGCTTTTGATGAATAACTGTTCTATAATTACCCATTGCCACCTATAGTGAGAGTAAGTGATACTCCACATGAGACTTGATGGAGGGGCTATACGATTACATAGTTCAAGCCTACAAAAATGAAGCAATTGTGACAATTGATGGGGTCAAGGTTGAGTATCAATGGTGAAATGCACTCTTAGGGTTATTTTTGGTCTACAATTCTCTCGCAACCTGCCTACTTCGACACAATAAGTGATTTACTACGTTTTCCAGAAGACCTTAAAAGCCCTGAAAGGCATGAACACTCCGCTGGGTTAAACATGGAGGAGAGGAAGAGTGACAGGAGAGTATGATTTTCCAGCGGAACAAAAGTGCAAAAAAAGACCAACATTACAACTGCATTTACTGTCAGATGAGGATCAGTGGGATTAAAGGCCTTTCTACAAATTGTAGTATTCTTCTTTATTTGTATCATTGATGTGGTCAAGGGAGAGCTTTCTCATTGCAGACAGGTTCACCAGGTCACCATGCACATGCCCATGCAGATACCCCCCCCCACACACACAAGTACTCTCACAGGACACACAGACATGCACAGAGTGTCACATGACGGGGCAGGGCCTGGAGGTGTGGTGGCTTGTCTGCTAAACAGGGATTACAGGGGGAAGAACATCTCTCTTCTTCAAACACTTAATAAAACAGAAGAGGACGGTAACAGAGAATGGGAAGAATCGGTGGACACGGGTAAGTGTGAAAAGCTATGGGTGCATTTATAATCAGTTAAGGGTTTCTAAATATGGGAGCATAGGGAGACGCAGCCCTTTAAAAGCCCTAATCCCTCTTACTGTAGAAACACTGTAATCTTATTTGGAAGCCAGCATTACTGTTAGACAACAAGGCTGAGGATGGTATGGATCTATTCAGCTATATAAATAGATTGTTTGTTGATATAAAAAACAGGTTTCATGGTGTCCTTATTATATAAAGTCAGGAAAATAACACTAATTATTATTTATTTCTTCTTCCACCGATGCTTGTTATATTATTAGCTTACTTTAAAGCTTGTTTTTTTTGCAGTTTCTGTATTTTCTGTATATGTTTGTCTAGAAATAAAAAAGAAATAACTTGTTTTTAGCATAACTAGTAGGAATAAGCATTAGGCTATGAACACAAAATATTATGTTGTAAAATAAATATTGTGTTAACAGAACTGGTAGGGCAATAGCATGAGAATAGGAACACAAACATGTAAGATAAGATAAAGAACATAATAGTGAAACAATGTTAACTATGGAACAGTTTACTAGAGAAATTACATTGAATATTATTTCTCTTTTTCTATTAACAGACCTATGTGGAGATGCTCTACTTTGAGCATCTACTGTAAGCTAATACATGCTACCGTTTTTATTAGCAAACTATCAGTCTCTATTTTTTTTAAATTATTTTATAAATCTAGAAAACAAAATACAATATAGAAAATTGTAATAATTAGAACTAGTATAAATTAGCATAAGGTTATTAACGACTACAATACAGAATGGGCGTTGACTTTAATCAGACTGTTTAGAGAGGCGACTAGAAAGACCTACAAAAGGGCAAAGGGCAAAAGTGACAGCGGTTAAATTAGATGGGAGACGAGGAGGGTCTAACTTCATTTTAAAAGCGAAGGATAGCGTTGCAAGTCGCTTCGTAATTTTCAGTAGAAAACTAAAGCTGCATGTGTTTAAATTCGTGGTGGTAACTCAGCTTTCAACGACACTGTGGAACTAGTTCGGTTGGCGGATTTGGATTTGGACCGTCAGGTTTGAGGAAAGAGGCTCTTCAGGTAACGCTGACGTTTGACACTATTTATTTGCCCCATTTCAATGACGTTTCAAAGTTTTGGCAGGTAAATAAGTAGCCTTAAATGTCACATATAAGGATGTATCTGTAGCAAAACGAAGATGTAGGTTAACTTTTTAATAAACAGTCATCTGTAAAAGCAGCATCAGTTTGGAGTAAAAATAATCAGATGTACTCCACAGTGAATCGAGTTGAAACGATTACGCCATTAATCAACACACAGAAATATAACCACATTTTTTTATAACCGTTTACAAGGGTATATTTGCTGGGTTTCTTCATATTCTAAGATAAAATGATTTTATTTGGGTTGTTATCTGTTGGTTGGACAAATAAAGCAACATGTTTTACAGACTAAATGCCTAATCAAAAACCAACTAATCATGATGAAATGAATGAATGAATGTAGATGTACCTTCTCTATGGGAGTTGTAGTTCTTCTAATCTAATCTCATTCTTGGAATGTCTTCAAGCAGCAGTAAGACATTTCACACTGCCACCCTGACATCATCTGTGTGTGTGTGAGGTAATATGAGGTATGGTTCTCCCATTGACACTAATTACTGAAATATTTGTTCCCTTTCAGGAGTTTTGCCTGACGTTGGGAACAGCATCTGATCTGGCGATGGGTGAGCAGGAGAATCCACTGGACAGAGACCACTGTCTGTCTGTGGTTCTGCCAGGGGGGGTGGAGAAAAACGCCACAGTGCATGGAAGGTAGACCCTATTACACAAACATACAGATAATGTGCAAAAACTAAAGGCACTACAGCTTTTTCATTTTCAAAACTAAATGCTAATGCCACTTTTTATGCTATTGACCTGTTTTATTCACATGCTGGTTTAGATTTTATTATGGGAAATGTTGAATACAATAGTCTTAATACTACACAAATCAGAATATCTTGAGCTCAGCTCCATTGATTTGAAACATTTAAAAAACAATATAAATAGCCTTTTCAATTACTTTAATACCTTTTGTTTGGTCTATTTCCTCTTTGTCAACCTCTAGTGTTTTGATAAAGTTTCACCTGTATTTGTCATACCTTTGCAAGATCTTTGGATGTAATCTCTGTTATTAATGGTCAATTGTTCACTCTCTCTTAATAGTAAACCAGTGATGGACTTACTGGTGACCCTCTGTGCGAGTTACCATCTGAATCCGTCTGACTACACTGTTGAGTTTCTCTCGCCTAACAAGAACAACATCAGCTTCAAACCCAACTCTCCTATTGGCTCCCTGGAAGCGGAGACGATTGTGCTGAAGCCCAGAGGGGTGGAGGAAAAGATCAGAAGGCCATACATGCCTGAGGTAAAAGTGGTTTATATCTGTACAAAAACACAATTTAAGCCATAGACATTCATTCCATTGTTGCATAAGATAAACAGTACGTATCATCTCTCTCTGCAGGCATCAGTTCGTCTGTTGATAAACTACAATAAGTCCCACAAGACGGTGGTGCGAGTCAATCCAAGAGTGGCCCTTGAGATGCTGCTGCCAGCGGTGTGTGACAAGTGTGAGTTTCAAGTGGAGACCACCATATTACTGAAAGACTCTTATTCTGAAGAGCCTCTGGACCTGAGCAAAACCTTAAATGAGCACGGACTGAGGGAAGTGTTTGCCAAAGACACAGCCGCTAAGGAGCCTGAGTCCCAAGAAGCAGGTACGTTAGAGGACATATTGATATGACATGACTAAATCCATTTTCAGCCTATTCCAGAAATATTTCCTGCTTAAATTGTTGATAAAAACCCTACATTTGAACTTCATGGTTGTTTTTTTTTAGTTTCTTCGACAAAACCCTAAGGTCAACATCTAAAATAAGATGTTTAGTTCCTAAAATATACCTACTTCTATATATATTTGTTCAAATCTGACCTCAAAATGTCATTGTTTTCTGCCTGAATCAGCTGTCACTCAAACAGAGGTCATCACACCACCTCCACTACAAGGTAACACATTCATACACGCTCTCAAATATGATCAACCATTTCTGCTACATTACTAATCAAGATCTTTCATTATCATATAGACCTGCCAAAGAAGAAGAAGGAGAAGAAACAGAAGGACAACACAGGATTCTTCAGCCTATTCAGAAAGAAGAAGAAGAACAAAGCTGCAACGGTACAGTGTTTCATCATGTTGTCAAAGATGGCTGACTCTTTAACGTCTTCTGCTTCTAACTATATTTCCCCCTCTTTCCAGGAAGGGGAAAGGAGTGCCCCAGCTTCTCCTGCTCCCAAAAAACAAGTGGGAGACAATGTGCGGGGTCTTTCCTCCTCGAACACCCTGCCATTGGAGATGCCCAAGAAGAGACGGGCCCCTCAGCCGCCCATCGGGGCCTCACAGAGCGTCCCCAACAACCTCGGGAACTGTCATGTCGGAGGGTCACAGGTAGGTGCTGGGAGGGTAGAAATGTATCCACTTCCACTAAGGAAAGAAGAGTGTGTGTTACTGTATGATACCCCTTTTAACACATGCTGTCTATCCATGAAATATTCGATATTCAGGGTAATGTGTAACGCTACATTCCCACATAAAGATGGAAAATGGTGGTATAAATGCTCTCAATGGAAAAAAACACGCTAATAAAAGGAATTTTTTTGTCAATGTAGAGGTCAGCAGAATCCACCTTAAGGAGCACCAAGAGGAGGGCCCCACCCCTACCCTGTGTTAACACCCACCAGGAGGTCAAAGGTAAAACCTGCATTCATGATTAAAGACCTTTGAGGTTTCAATTTGACTGGGGGGGGTAACATGTAAAATGTGGCTATTTGAGAGGTATAAAATATAAATGTAGGTCAGTAGCATCACATAGTAGCTTTCTCTTTATTTTGCCATCCACTGAAGCATCTTTGAAACCGCAGAGGATATGAAATATGCTGGTGGAATAATCCCAATTGACCTTTTACAGTATTTCCGTAAAACAAAATCAAACAGCTTTAGAGTGGGGTGAATTCTTGTACCTGCCAAATCCTCACGGCTTCAGCCAGCGCCACACCAGGTCAAGACAGATTGAAGTTAAATCAAGATTAAAATGTCAAAGCCAATGGAAGCTTTATATCCAGAGTGAAACGCGGCTTTTATCAGTCGGAACAATTTAACCCCGTTCAGGGCAATTAAAGTGACCCGCTGCGCTTTGTTCACACAGGCTGTTCCAAGATAAATCCATCTATTGTCTGAGTGCTCACTCCCCTGTGATATGCTCACCCACCTGCTGTTCCCTTTCATTCTGACCATTCTGATATTAGGTTATTGGGGACCTGTAATTAAGCCACAATCACTTCACGATGAAACACAGGAGCACATACTACAGTTTAAGAAAGCAGACATTTTGAGCTGATTATCCAACTTAATTGCCCTCAGCAGTCTCGGCTCCCTCCCGTGTTTTTTGTATCAATCCTCTGCAGGAAAAACAACTCCCAGCCAAGAGTTGCTGATCACACTCTCCATCCTGTCCTCCTACACACACATTATCACAGACTGTGCACGTTCAATAGGGCATGTTCATCACTGTGTGTGTCTTTAAAGCTTCAGACGTTGCTGCCCTAAAGCGTTCTCCTCTCCCTGCTTACAGACTCTGTGTTACCTGGAGGGGGGGCTTGAGGGCTGCTGCCTCCTCTTCCTCTCCTCCTTCCATCATCCCTATTCCTCCTGTCCGTCCTCCTCCGCGCAGGCCTCTTCTTCCTCATTTCCAACTTAGTGGCTTTTATGGATGTCTGTCACTGCACTTAAAAGCTATTTATTTGTCTTGTTTTTATTTTTGTATGCTTGTTTTTTGGTGGAAATTCTGTATTGTCCTTCTTTTGTGTGTTTTTCTTTCAATGGATTACTTTTTTGTAAACTTACTGCTGTGCCTTTACTTCAAAACATACAATAAGACAGATCAATACTTCAAATCTTTGTATTTTATGCTAATTTCTTTCTCTTATTTTTATTTTACTTATTATATATGTGTTTTATATATTTATGTTTCATTCTGGTTCTTTAATCTTTTTCTTCTGATTTATTTATTCATATAAGTTTATATTCATAATTCATTGTTATTTCTCTTATAACAATAAAATTGGTATTAATCAAATCAACTTTACTATTGATTTCTTTAAAAAAAAATGTGTCTCTTAATTTTCTACTAAAATTGATTCATAAGGGTTTTCCATTTGAGCCAAGTTCCCTCATGTTACTTATTCCATTTTCTTATGTTATTGTTATATTTTAATAATGAATGTTGCTGTTCTTTATGCAGAACTTTCATTGATAATATTACTTTGCTTAAAAGTAACATTAATTCAAGTTTACTCTTTGTTTTGAAGACCCTTAATTTGAATATTCCTGTTTCTCCAGCGTCCGTAGACTCCCTGACGGAGGATCTGAGAGAAAGCGACGAGTCAGAATCTGTATCACTGCCCTCGTCTTCATCACCATCACCATCCCATCCACGTTCCTCTTCATCCTTCTTACGTTCATCCTCATCCCGTTCATTTGCTCATCTCTATGACGTGGCTGACCCGTATCTGCCTTCGTTTCGGGGGAAAGACCTCTCTGACGCCCGCTCTGCTCTTGCCAAAGTCCTGACGTCCTCCATGTCCAAAGGAGCGCTGGTCAGGCGTGTGAGGAACTCTGCCTCCTCCTTAAAGTCCATGACTCCGAGGCGTTCGGATAACGGAGGGTTCTGCGTAGAATCTGTTCTAGAACACAAACTCCCAACTGAGCATGAGTGGCAGGATCCAGCACAAAGGAAGGGAATGACCACGTTTAAAGTGGTTCCCTCGGGGAAGTCCTACAATCCTGAACTCACCACAGAGCAGGGAACTGTAGAAGATCACCCTGAGAGTGAAGGTTCTACTGCGGAGCCTGAAGAGGATCCACCGGGGACTGAAACACCTTTACAGCACCCAGTACCTCCTGAGAAATCTCTGCAGAGTCCAAAGCCTCCTGAAAAGCCTTTGCGTAGTCCAGAACTTTCTGAATCACCCTTGCGGATTCAAGACTCTTGTGGAAAACCAGTGCGGAGTCAAGAACCGTCTAAAACACCTTGCCGGAGTCCAGAACTTCCTGAAAAACCTTTGAGCACTCCATACCTTTCTCAAAAAACAATACTGGTTCAAGAATGTTCCGGAAAACCTTTGGGTAGTCCAGAACCTTCTGAAACGGCTTTGCAGAGTCCAAAAACCCCTGAAAAACCTTCTGGTAGTCCAGAACCTTCCGAAACGGCTTTGCAGAGTCCAGGCTCATCAAAAACACATGTGCAGAGTCCAAAACCACCTGAAAAACCTTTGGGTAGTCCAGAACCTTCTGAAAAACCTTTGGGTAGTCCAGATATTTCTGAAAAACCTTCGCAGATTCAACAGTCTTCCGAAAAACCTATGAGGAGTCAAGAACCTTCTGAAACATCCTTACAGAATCCAGAACCTATTTTGCAGAGTCAAGAACCTTCTGAAACATCCTTACAGAGTCCAGAACCTATTTTGCAGAGTCAAGAACCTTCTGAAACATCCTTACAGAGTCCAGAACCTATTTTGCAGAGTCAAGAACCTTCTGAAAAAACTCTGCAGAGTCCAGAACCTTCCGAACTTCCAAGTGACGGTCAGATCATCTTGGGGAATGAAGCTGAGGATCAAAGCCACAATGGACAGTCTGAGAGTAAAGACGTAAACCATTGTGGTTCACTCGCTGAAGTGAAGCAGGAAGTGGTTCAAGAAGAGGAAGAAGCCGAGGACTGTTTCCCTCCCCCTCCTCCACCCGTCTACTTTGAAGAAACCATAGAGGAGAAAGAAGATGCTTCCTCTCTGTCTTCTTCTCAGCAACCAAGTCCAACCTCCAACGGGATTCATCAGAAGGAGTCTTCCAGAAAACCTGCTAACCCAGCCCCCTCCAGGTTTGCAGAGGCCGTAGCAATGCGCGTGCAGAGGTCCCGTCTCAGGAGCACAGGGAAGGGTTTAGACGCTCAGGTCCAGAGCAGACCACTTGGTACACCTCCATCACCCCCCAGGTCCCCCTACCAAAATGGTGAGTTCCACAGACCACTGATTTTAGAGTTTAGTGCTTTAATGTGATACAGATACGTAGCAGTACTGTACTATTTTCCTCTTTTTTTTTTGCTTGGTTGTTCATTGTGTTTTAAAGCCAGTAGTTGTACACAGATGCAGATGTAGTAATTTAGTTAGAATCTTCCCCATATTTGATGGAAAAAAAGACATAATCTTTAACATAATAAAAAAAACCACTGAAGAGTAAAAACTGAAAGAAGACGACAGTATTTCACCACAAAGCCATAGCAAAGTCTCCTATTCAAGAAATGTCACAAATAAGCCCCTAATCGTTTAAACAAATACATATGTCTTCAATCCATATTTCCTTTGAAAAATAACATCTAACATAGAAAAAGGAGGACATTTAAATTGTATTTCACTCATCTGTCTGACGTAGAGACAGAAAATAAATAATGAAAACTTTATTTCTGGGCATCTGACTGTATATCTTGTCGCCATTTTAACACCTGCATATAGAAGAAAACCGTGATATACATTTCTTTCCGTTTTGTCTTTTTCTCTTCTGTAGGTGCCTGACTGTCCCTGGATCATTTCGAAGTAGATGAACAGTATTTTTGCATCAGTTTTATGACAAGCAACTGACTTTTTTGTATTCTTGTATTTTTTTGTTCAAAGACACGTTGCTGTCTCATTTTGTTGGACTTTAGACGATGTTGAACATACATATTTTGTCCACACAGCCAAATGTACAGGATAGAGTTGTTGACGAGACAACGTCCTGTTTTTTCTTTACTTCCTTTTGAATTTGTATTGAAGATGTGCCAAGGCGGATGCAAAGCTGACTTGAGAGTTTTTGTTTGTGTAAAACAAATGAATGTGCAATAATAGGTTTATTTTATTTCTGTGCCAGAGTTAGTTTTCCTCTAGGTTGTAAATGTTATAATTGATAAGGAATGCAGTATAACTGATTTGCTGTTTGGCCAGCAGGTGGCAGTACAGTATTATTTAAAAAATAATCAAATCTATAGAAGAGATTTTATGTGAAGTCTAAGAGACACATTTTATTATTTTAAGTTACAGTTAATATTGTTTTCTTATGGCTCAAGAGCATTAATGAACTCACATGACACATTATTATTATATTTATTTTTCGCAATGCTTTGTCTGTCAATTCTAAGGACTTTCCCAGAATAAACCTGCATTTAATGACATGAGAATTTCTTGCATTTCTTGCAAAACAAATCGGTGTTGAAATCAGTTTTATGCCAACACCTTCCTGAATAAACTCAGTCCACTTTGCACACACTGTTGTGTCTTTAACGGACCCACACCTCGGGGCGATACTGCATAGCTATACTTGGGTGCCAAAAGAATCTGCTGCACTATACGTATTGATCCAGCCCTGGCCTTGGAGGAACAGCAAGGAGCTGTGCGAGGTAGAGACCTCGCCAGAACCGCCCGTGGCTAAAGCTCCACGTTTGCCAGGCCTGGACTGAGTGGGCTAGCTTCAAGACTTTTCTTTCTCTCTGCAATTCCACCTGAGGAGACGGGGAGAGAGGATGGGTTGCTGGTGGATGATGGGAGGTGACCGTTGACCCTGTCGTGTTTCCCCCCCCCCCCCCACCCCCCCAGAGGGAGCGCCCGGCCCTCAAGGGCACAGCCGTGTCACACCGCCGTTGTCATGGAGAATGCCATTACCGCCCCTAAGGGAGAGTCTAAAGTCTGTGGAAAGAGAAACAGCTCTTTTTCTGCCCAAAGCACTGATATCCAATGTTAGTGACAACTCTGGCATTCTCTGTTTTTAGGGAAAGGTTGGATTTCAACCTGAGCAGCGATGATCATGATTATGCAGACAAAAGAGAACTTGATTTATAATGTAGACCAACATGAAATGCTACTCTGTCATGTACAGTTATGATCCAGTGATGATATGAGATGCTATCAGCACACGTGGACCTTTGAGGAAGAACACGGTAATTATTGTCTCAGGAGAGAGAGAGAGACAAACTGTCTCAAATCCTGGAGGACACGTCTGTCATGTGACCACATCAGGGTTAAAGTGATGATGAGGAGGCCATGGATTCATTTTCAGGTTCTCTTAGAAATATACACCATCAAAATAATGTGTTGTCTGGCCACAACATTCTTTAAACTTTTTAATAAATTATTTTTCGAAATCTCTACCAGCCAAATTCCCTCTATTGCACCGTTTTACCAATTTAAATCATATACAAAAATATAATTTAAGGATGAAATAAAACATAGAATTTGAAAAAAGTACAGAGAAATACACACTTCATAATGAATTCACACAAATACATCATAATAAATAAAACAAGAATAAAAAACATTTTATATATTTTGTGTATATAAAAGACAATAAATAGTTTTTATATTGTATTCTGTCTCATTTTTTATCATCAAATCTATGACAACAACATTTAGTAAATATAAATACAATGTAATGTTTTAATTTAAATTGATTGTAATAATTTGGGGAAGAAGGGTATTTTATATGAAGTAAATAACACCTGTCTTAAAAACATATGCCACTGCAGGATACTCCCAGTGCAGAAGCAAAAAAGCAAATGATGTAAGAGTTTGAAATCTATTCGCTTTTGGAGAAGATCTTAAAGGTAGGATTCACCTTGTTGCGAACAGTCAAGGTCATTTGAACACGACTCCAATCTGGGTAAAGACTAGACATTAATTCAAGTTCAATTAAGAAATCAGGAGCTGGTTTCAATTGAAATTCATCTCTTGCATGAAGCTTGTTCCTGATTATCTCAGGACTAGCTTGATATGAATCCTCTGTCTTTAAAAAAAACAGCATAGTATATAAAGCGTGGCAGACTGAGGCAACTCTTCTAAAACCTCTTGGTAGAGCCTTTCAACATATAGCGGACTATTTAAAGATGCAAATGGTTGAAGTTGGTCTCGTTGGTCATTTCCATCTCAACAGAATAAGACAGCTAGCCAATAGTGTATCAGATAAGCCATCAGATCAGACTGAGCAAAGGCAACTAAAGGATGCCAAAGAAGGCAGTAAGACACTTATCGATGGAAGTTGTGAAAGTGATAACAAAAAGATAAAAGTTTCCCGTTGAATAGTAAAGCATACAGAATCCATTTTCCATCCCACTTACTTATGATAAAACCTTAAATGCACCATTGAGAACAATTACAACTCCACACATTTAGCATCAAGCATAACAATAAAAAACGTCCACACACCCACAAAAAACGCTCAGATCAATACCACGATATGTGGCCCACACAAACAACGCTTCACATTTATCATTTATTTATTCCTTCATCTCTTCATTCATGTCCTATTTAGCTCTCCATCAGATGCATGTGCCTTGTGGTTTGAAGATGCCCACGAGCTGGTGAATGTGATTATAAAACAGCGAGTATAGGCCCGGGGGCGCGCTTCCACTGCGGTGTCTGCACATGTGTTGCAGTCTGCTAATATATGTGTGTTTACATGGCACCTCCATGCTTGGGTAGAAATAATCAATACGTGAATCACCCAAAGCAGTGTAGCCCTCCCCAGGCAGTGTGGAAGCAGCTATTCTTTCCATTCACCTTGGGATCTACCCCCCCCTAAAAGTGAGCTTCGGTTGCCTAAAACACCACCACCGCTGGAGGGGAAGCTTGGAAAGTGATGCAGGGAGAGCGCAGTTGACCTTTGACCTCCTCCATGTTGGCGCTTGCTTCCCTCCTCTTTGGCGGAGCGGCAAATCACAGAGTTCCTGCCTCATTGGCATTGTCAGGCGCTTACAGTAGTGTTTATCTGCATTGTGCTGCTGGTTAACTGGTTCAAATGTTATGGAAATGATATTTACCTCTTCTTTGATCCTGTAAACTCCAAACACGCAGGCCTTTTTTCTTTTTTTCTCTCTCCTCTTCCCCTGGTCGAAGAAGAGGCGCTATAAATACAAACGACGGGGAAAAATAGTCCTGCTTGGTGTTAAAATCAATCCCAATTCAAGGCTGCCGTGTTTTAAACGGGTGTAGAGGACGTGGTTTTGACACAAAGTCAAGCTAGTTTGATTCATGGTGCTTGGCAGCGCAGGAGAAAATAAGCAAGTAGGAACAGAAGCGGTTTGACGGTGGACAAGCCCTGTCCCTCCATCATTTCTTTTCATTCAGTCTCCTCACTGAATCCTAGGAAAGTGCTGTGATGAATGGCCGACGTCTGCCATTCAACGCGGGGACAAACTGACACAATCACCGAGGTTCATTTGTCACCCCAGGCTGTTTCTTTAGACAAATCTGCCATCTGATCCTATACAGTGAAACAATGTGTCTCCTGCTTCTGATGTGCCACCCTCCTGTATGTCTGTGACTCGAATCACTCTAATGATCACATGAGGTGGCCATAATGAAGCTTTTGGACTGACGATGCAGTGCTGATGTATAACCAAGAGGGGGCACAGCAATCCCTGCTTCAGATCAGGGAAATTAAGACAGGTACTCTGACTTTGACGGGAGTATTAAGACAGAAACCAGGGGCAGACAACAATGATTGTTACACCATGTTGCACCGAATAATCCAAACTGCTGTTTTAATCAGGAATAATGTTGTACACTTTGTTGAGAAGATTATTTTAAAATCCTAGTATGTGAGATTTTTTGCATAATATGTCAAACTTGTGCATCTCTCTTTCTTTGGCATTGTGTTTAATTCATTTTCTATTAATTGTTGCCTTAGCTGACCTTAAATGCAAACATTCCTCCTCAGGCATGTGCTAACAAATTAGTTATTTTCCCTTATCGACTCAATTTAACTCAAATTACTGAGCAAAACAGCTGTGATCTGCAGTGTATGAATCAGAAGGGTGCACCAGTAAAGTGTTATAGTGGGGGTCTCTAGGAAAAGGGGTACAAACCATAAATTGGGATTTCTTTTTGTCATAATTGCATTTAAAGGGGGCTTAAAAGGTTACATATTAGCTTATATAGGTAATTTAGCATACCAGCTTATGTTATTTAGATTTAATACAGTGATAGTAATAGATTAGTTTCAATGAAAATTGCTTGCCCCAACAAAATCTTACAGATTTATTTTGTGTTCCGAGGAGGTGAAACTATCATTATGAAGTGATGGTACAGTATCAGGATCAGAATCCTTTATTCATAACGCAGCGGGGAACTGAAAGCGCAAAGTACAGTGCACATACAGTAAAAGGTAAAAATAAAAGAGTTTACATAGATATTAAATAAAAAAGCAATCACATGGTTTAAAAAATAAAAACAAATTGCCTTGGAGAATAATGGTACAGGCAATATAATTGTAATATATAGTGTTGGCAAATGTATAACGTTGTGCCTATAAATCAGAAATTCAGTCTTGTTTACCAAGTATTAAGTAAACTGTTTGTTTCTCCCAGAATAAACCAGTGAGTATTTTTATTGATACCTGATTAAACAACAAAATGACTGTAAGTGATGCGTGTGTTTTTAAGTCCTTTTCCAGTCTTATTTGCCAGCCTCTTGATGGAGCCGCAGCAGCGCCCCTACAAAAAAAAAGACTACTTTTTTATTCTCCCCTTTGTTTTTTAGTCTGTCATCATTAATAATTCATCTCTTTTCTCGGATGCTAAAACAACAACAAACAGAACAACAGCTCGGATAATGTATTCAGTCAAAAGCTCATTGTGTAGGGGAGGAGGAGAGGGGACAGAGAAAATGTGCACTGGAGTGAGACAAGAGAGCACCCCGACAGGGAGAGGCTCAATGTCACTCTGCAGCGTGGCGGGAAGGAAGAAAAACAAACGCCAGAAGGAGGAAAAAGAGATAAAGATACAGTTTGTAAATCATAAAAGCCCAATTAGAGGCATTAGGGAGGATTACAATGAATAATCTTTAATGTGCATGACACAAAAAGAATGTATTTTAGATTAGTAGAAAAGCTCTAGCAATAATTCAAGGTTGAATCTGGTGCCAATGGCCGTCCATTGACTCAGCTGCCTTCCTGTAACCCCCCCACTCCCTCCTCCGTCACCCCTTCAGTTGGAGTAGCGTGACCTTGGATGTCTCCGGTGTGAACCAGCGCCCCAGCTTTCACATTACGACACAATGGATCCTGACTCATTCAATTTAAACCCATCAGGAAAACACAATACAAGGCAAATTAGCTGCCATTATTTAGACACTTCCGTGCCCCCAATCTGAGGTTATATGACAATTAGTCACATTTGTCTTC